GCATGATGCTGACCTGTAAACAGGAGTTGAAGAGGTAGCCAAAACCTCTCTGTATTAGACTGAATGGGCCAGTATAAATTGACCAGTATAAATCTATTGGGTATGCATTTAAGAGAGTTATATGAGTGTTCGATTTCAGTATTTACTTTTTTCAAAGTGAGTCATAATCGTGGTTTTCTAAAAAGAAATTACAAATTGGAACACTGTTCTGAAATCCTATGTTCCTCAGTGGAGAAGTAGAAAAGTTTATATGGTTGTAAACAGATGTTTCCTAAGAATAAAATACTTTCCTAACTTAAACTCAGGCAGACATACTTTTGAATAGAGATGTGCATCTTCAAGTTTTCTATTTTTGTGTATTAAAAGCTCTGTGAGGTATAATGATTTCAACATATTAAGTGAGGAAGGAACTCCTGTTGAGGAATTATGTTTATCAATGTGTGGGAAGGATATTGCTATCTCTTGCCCAAAGAACACATAAAGAAGAAATCTATGTAGCTCAGGGTTTAATTGTGGAGTCCTTGGTGCTCTTTGAGCTTGGTTGTTTGCTTGCAGACATTTCATTACTCAACTAGGTAACATCATCAGTGCTAGTGAGTGTGGGGTTTGCTCCCTGTTTATGTACAGTAGCTTGCCCTGCCAGTGTTGGTGGGGTGTGGTTTTCTCCTTGGTAGGACAGACAGGCAGAAGACTAGCAGAGCGCATCCATGAACACCAACTAGCAGTCAGAAGACACGATGAAAACTCCTTAATCTCAGTACACATGGACAGACTCAACCATAGTTCCAACTGGGAAACTATGAACATCCTAGACCAAGCTAAATCCAAAAAATGCTAGGGAATTCCTGGAAACTTGGCATTCAGACAAATCAGCCATCAATAGACACACAGAGATAAACCACATTTACATACCATTCACAAGAGACAATAAAAAAAGTAAGAAGGAAACAAAAAGACCAGAACACATCCTCTCCAGCAGCCAACACCCAGATAAGCAGGGATTAACGCCAGACAAACAACCAAGAAGAAAACAATATCCTAATCAAGGAGAAAACCACACCCCCACCAACACTGGCAGGGCAAGTTACTGTATATAAACAGGGAGAAAACC